ATTTACATTGGATTCCTGCAATTAGCCTTTAAATATATCTTAAAAGAGAGTCAGTCAAACATATATTTTTTTCTAAAGGAAATTTAACCCGAAGCGGACAAGCGGCAAAGAAAGCCACAAAGGAACTCTTTTTTCAGGATTCTCTGGCATACATTCCGTCAATCCCAACAGCAAAGACAAACGCTTCAACTTTTAAAATTCCCAATAAAGCAACTTTCAAAATTATTATAAATTTAATAAAATTGTAATCATACAAATTAAATTGAATAACAGAGAGTGTAGATTTAAGTCGCATAGGGCAACTTCTTCATATGATTTCAAAAGCTTGGAAGTTGGAACAAGCAATTATTTTCCCTGAAAGTGATTACCAATGAACACCATGAATCTGGCCTGGCAAAGCCGGCCTTCTCCCACCACCATGAATCCCCTCATGAACTCCACCGCCCATCTTCCCAAAAAATCCATGCCCCCCTTCGAATCCCGTTGCCTGAGCATAGAAACCGCTATCCAATCCAGCCGCCGCTGCGGCCGCAGCCACGGGGTTAACGGTGACGTTTCCCTCTCCAAAGTTCAGCGACTTCTCACGACCTCCGGCGACGTCTTCCGGTTCCTGCTGCCTCGCCATACAATTCTTCTCCCCCTCGCTTTCCCTGTACCGGTTAAGATAAGCCTTTAGAGGAACGACATAGGAATTGAAGCCGAGGGTCGTCATGGCCCAGAGCAGATCATCTCCGTTGATAGTCTTTCGCTTCTCCCGCTGGCACTTATCGGAGGCTTCGCCGGTGATGAAACTGATAAACTCGGAGACGCACTCTTGCACCGTCTCTTTGGCTTCTTTTGATATCTTGGCATTCGCCGGAAGAGAGCGCTTCATTATGCGGCTGACGTTGGCGATGGGGAGAAAGCGGTCCTGTTCTTTGGATGAGCCGGAGATGTCGGTGTCTGATGGTGGGCTGCTCGCGGGGCTCATTGATTGTTGACATGTGGTTTTTCTGCTTCCTTTCATTGCGAGGTGAGGAGGAGATCGGCGGGGGAGGAGGAGAAATTGGAGTGAAAGGGGAAAGTGGGTTTTAGTGTTTGGTTGTTCGTTTTAGTGGTGTGGGAACTGGTTATAAAGAAGGAGAAAGTGGGGGAGAGAAGGAGAAGAGAGGAGGGCCGGCCAGGTTTGATTTGGACATCGAGTAAAATCAAATTCGAGTAGGAGAAGCTAAGCCGGACGGATTTTTGGATAAAAATATATAGTAATATATAG